TTTCTTACATTTGTAATTGTTTTCTTATGACGTTTCTCCTAAACTCAGAACTTTTCTTTTTAAATCACACACAACTGCACATTTTCAAAAACACTCAATCGATATTTTCTCGAAAACCATTCCAAATGTTTCAATAAAATTTGAAGGACCAGATGCACACTTAATAATAATAATAATAATAATAATAATAATAGTAATAATTTTAAAGTTATATTTTTATTATTAGGGGACCGAAAATTGAGAAAATGTGAATAAAATTAAGAGGGTGTGTCAAAACCGAAAAGCTATCGATGCCTACATATTTTAAAAAACTAACTTGTACCACAAAGTGGGCAATTTTATTGCACAAGAAGTTAGTTTCTGTCATTGTGTTAGCATAGAAGAGAAAAAGAAAAAGAAATACTGCAGCAAACCACGGCCATCTTTCGACATAAAACGTTTCGTGTGCCCGTAATATCGTAAAAGTCTATATTAGTATCTACTTTATTAGATCTGTTCTTCAAAATGAGGTCAAATACAAATTTTTCAAAATTATGAGTTTGCACGTTCCTTTGTGTGAAATAAAGTCCATATACACATTAAAAAATGACTAAAAATTATTCCTTCATTTTGTTCTCGAATAAAACGAAATATATTTTAATATATTAGACTATATTAAAATGGCGCAGAATTGTTGAATTCTCTGCAATTTCGTTAATTGCAAATGTTACAATAATGCGAAGAAATGCGAGATGTAGCAGCGCTAGATAACTTAATCTCATTAATTGAGAAATATATATTGCCATAAATACTTCCTTAAATTACTTAAAGATTTTATCTAATAAATATCACTAGTTTACAATAAAAGTAAAACTTCTCGTAGAAATCTTATCTCAAACCATTTGCACCGCAACATACTTCCCTCATCCCCAATTGTCACGCCCATGGGGCGTTGTGTTTGCGTTGCCCGTGAGACTAAACATCACATCCTCACTCCATCCCTTTCCGGCCAAGTGTCGACGTCATACGCATGAATCACTTCCTACTCCTCTCTAATGAACATCCAAGCAGACTTATTTGTACACAAATATTCCTTGCCAGTGGTCGCGGGGCCACATCATTATCGTCGATTCATCTGACTTTGACGGCAATAACTTCCATCTAATTTTGCCATTGGGAGCCGTCACACTGCAAGAAACGGAAGATCGTTACATACACATTTTGCTTCAGTACCTTCCTTCGTCTGGACGCATCGTCAGATTATTCTGAGCAGATTGAGCACCTTGAGTCGCTTTTCTTGCAGGGGATTTTTTCTGCTTCTCTCGTATGACGAGTTTTATGCATCTTGTGAAGTTGTTTCACCTTTTACTTATTGTTTTACACTATAATTTATTTACTGAATTACATTATTTATTTACTTAACACCCCAAACAGTAAATATTATATTATTTTTAATAGAGTGCAAATATGCAAAAAACATGCCGATATTTAAGTGTGTTTTACACGGTTTTAGGAGTAAACCTGTATTTAACCTGTACCTTATACCAGTGGTTTACTTCATAATTCACAAAAAAGTTCTGATTAAAATCACGACCTAATCAAACCTTCCGACGATTCTGGTATCATTCAGACCCCAAATACGCTCACCTAGGAAATGAAAGCTGATGGAAAAATAGAATTAAGACCATTGTCTGTTACCTGGGAACTACTATTATAAACAACAACGTATTAATAATAGTACATTGATGTGTAGTTTACAATTATTGAATAAATTCCAAGTTTTCATTGCGATGATTAAAAATGAAATACAAATTCAGATGTGAAACTTTTAAAAATGATCCGGGCGGTAAATTATGATTGGAAGACATGGAATTAAATATTAACATAGTCAAATCGTGAAACGGGCGATTTGCATTAGATAATTATGTCATCCAATTCCCCATTCACTTGAATCTCCTTATGCCGTGTGCAGTACCTCAGCGGAAGCACAGCCGCTCCCGCTGTAGCGACGAGGGTCGAGAATTCCTTGCGTTCGAGTCCTGACGGCAGTCAATTTTCGACGCTGGGTAAATAGCTAGTTCGATTACAATCAGTACCTAAAGCAGAATTGTAGCGATCGAATGCTCTTATTGGCGGTTTTGCAGGGTTTCTCCGAACTACTCTAAGCGAGTGCCCGAGCGGTGCCCTAACAAAGAGGCACGACATCTTTCCTTCCTCATCCTTTCCCCTCCACTCCCCTTACACACGTACACACATTTATGCATTACACCGCCGCACTGTCGGGAGGGCAGACTGAATCTTAGAGCTTGCCCGGCTGGGGCGATGCCCTGATGGGGGGAAGACATCTCGAGGGGCAACCCCGCAAGGGTCGTGCCGGATCTCTCAGTCGGCGGGGAAGGAACACAGCCCCACCTCCCAGTTACAAAATGCGAGAATAATGAGCAAAGTAGTTGACGGGCCCGGAAGCAGTAAATGATGACTGCGAACGCACTACTGCCGCTTTAAGGCGGGCCGCGTGGCGGTTGGTGGAGGGGGGCGAGTGGCCGCTCGCAGGGCGGGTGGGCGAATAGAGCCAGCGTTGACAGGCAGCGTCGCGTTCCGCGCCCGGCGGCGC